CAGTAACTGGAACATTTAAATCAAGCCCTTCATAAGAAACACCCTTCACTCATCAATCGGAAAGGTGGTGTTCTTTTCCACAACAATGCACGTCCACATGTGGCACGTTTGACGCAACACAAGCTTTTAGAGTTGGGTTGGGAAGTTCTTCCCACCCACCATATTCTCCAGATATGGCACCATCAGATTACCATCTTTTTCATTCACTGCAACACCATCTTAATGGGAAAACGTAAACAAATGTGGAAGGTATTAAAGAGGACATCGACATGTTTTTTGCTTCAAAGCCAAGTGATTTATTTAATAAGGGTATTAACAACCTGATTGTAAGATGGAAAAGCATCATCGATAAGAATGGAGACTATTTAATTTAATAAATGTTTTCTTTTGATACATAAGTTGTTCGAGTTTTTTCATCTTAAAAAAAGCGACATTAATTTCTTAACGACCTAATGTATATAGTGCTTGTAAATTCTATTACGTTAAAAACGTCAAACTAACAAGTTGTCTGCGTAATTTCGATAATTTAAGTTCTGGTGTTTTCAAACATACAATTTTTATTCTAACCCTTATAAAGGTCGTTAGGAGTTTATTTTCCTCAAATATTATCATATCCGAAATTCCGAACATTTTTTTAAAACATATTTTCAGGTTGTGTGATTTATTGAGTAAACATTGATCAATTATTCAGCGGTATGTCTGCGGACTTACAACGCTAGAATCCGGGTTCGATACCCGTGGTGGGCAGAGCACATATAGCCCATTGTGTAGCTTTGTGTTTAATTACAAACAAACAAACACTACTTTTCGTGTGATTAGAAATGAACGAAGTTTTTTATTTTCAAACACGTGATTAATTATTCCACAAAATCACTGATCACACCAGGTTTATCCTAGAATGATCTGATCATAAAGAAGGTTGATCTGAAGCTAAGCGTATTTTAAAATCTTCATTGAACTTCTTAATCATAGAAATTCAATCCATCGAGCTGTAAGTGAAGGTTATCAAACAATCTCACCCCATCGAGCTGTAAATAAAGGTTATCAATGAAGCTCACCCCATCGAGCTGTAAATGAAGGTTATCAAACAATCTCACCCCATCGAGCTGTAAGTGAAGGTTATCAATGAAGCTCACCCCATCGAGCTGTAAATAAAGGTTATCAAACAATATCACCCCATCGAGCTGTAAATAAAGGTTATCAAACAATCTCACCCCATCGAGCTGCAAATAAAGGTTATCAATGAAGCTCACCCCATCGTACTGTAAATGAAGGTTATCAATGAAGCTCACCCCATCGTACTGTAAATGAAGGTTATCAAACAATCTCACCCCATCGTACTGTAAATGAAGGTTATCAAACAATCTCACCCCATCGTACTGTAAATAAAGGTTATCAATGAAGCTCACTCCATCGTACTGTAAATGAAGGTTATCAAACAATCTCGCCCCATCGTACTGTAAATGAAAGTTATCAAACAATCTCACCCCATCGAGTTGTAAATGAAGGTTATCAAACAATCTCACCCCATCGTACTGTAAATGAAGGTTATCAAACAATCTCACCCCATCGAGCTGTAAATGAAGGTTATCAAACAAGCTAAACATCCTCGTCTGGAATCTCTTTTTATTTATTTTCTTTTCATACCAGATTCTTACAGAATGAAATGAAACTTGTTGATCTACTTAAAAATATATATATATACCAAACTGTGTCGCAAAACAAACAGACTATATCTCAAGATCAAATTCGAAATGTATCACAGGAAAAACTATAAGAAAAAAGTTTTTTTTTGTCCTTCGGGTGCTTTGGGGTTCGAATCCCCCGCATTGGACAGAGTGCAGATAATAGCCCATTATGTAGCTATGCACTAAAAAGAACAACAAAAAAAAAGTCCTTCAATAATGTATTTATAATATCTGCGAAAAATATAAGGTTGAAAATAATTGACAGCAAAAAATGTTCACCTGTAAACTCGAAGTTCTCTTGTTTATGCTAAATAAATCAATAACTTCTCAACAATAAAGTTTACTTTCTTTCGAAATACTTTAAAAACACATCTAACAAACCATAACTAATCAAAATATCAATAACCTCGTATTTTATTGTACTGAAACAATCACGATCACAGTCATACACACGTCAGTTGTCCAGCTGTCACCAAGACATGATAATCCAGGTGTTAATACACACGTCAATGGTCCATCTGCCACCAAGACATGATAAGTTAGGTGTTAATACACACGTCAATTGTCCATCTGGCGCCAATACATGATAATCTAGGTGTTAATACACACGTCAATTGTCCATCTGCCACCAAGACGTGATAATCTAGATGTTAATACACACGTCAATTGTCCATCTGCCACCAAGACATGATAATTTAAGTGTTAATACACACGTCAATTGTCCATCTGCCACCAAGACATGATAATTT